AAAAAAAATTGCCTATGTTACCCGTAAGGGAAAATGTTTTATTTGTGGTAAACATAAAACAGTGATGAAATATGACATTCTCATGAAACACAGTCTCAGGATTTTCACATAAAATAACACTCTTTGAGTAGTTTATAGAGGGAATTTGGTACAGAGGAATACGGGTAGCCCATCAACAAATTAAGCTAATTTTACATTTGATTATCTGAGGGGGGTAAAATTTAACCCAATCCATTTTGTTATAATTAGTGACTTACTTTTTCTTTTTAAATCCTCACCTGAGGATATTTTTTTCCATTGCTTTTCAGAGTGAATGGAAGGCGGGGGGAGAGTGGGGAACATTGATGTGAGAGAAACACGTTGATTGGTTGCCTTCCTCAAAAGCCCCAACCAGGGCTGGGAACTGAGCCTCCAACCTAGGTACGTGCCCTTGGCAGGAATCGAACCTGGAACCCTTTAGTCCATGGGGCCAACACTCTAACCACTGAGCAAAACCGGCTAGGGTAAGACTTACATTTTTAATACAAACTCCAAGGCAATTTTTAAAAGCCTAGAAAAATCAAGTAAGAGTTGATACTCAGCAAATGTTGAATTCTGAGCAATATCCTGAGAATGTGTATTTTTTTTTTTTTTGCCCATTTATGGGAACTGGCACCCACTGAAGAATTTTTCATTCATTCAATAAATATTTCTTAAGAACCCACTATACCAGGCAGTGGGGATATACCCCTAAACAAGAGAGATATGGTCCATGTCCTCAAGGAGCTCACAGTCTATTAGATGAGGCAAATATGAAGTACAAAGAGGATGTGACACTGTAGCAGTATTCCTGTGGGACAAGTTAAGGCGTTAAAGAATTGCTCCCAGCATTCCTAACCAAATACAAGCTCTGAGAGACAACTAAACAAGACACAGTTCTACCTCATTTTTTTCTGTGTGTGCTTTAACTGAAACACCTAATGGCAAATGAAATAACCCATAACAGGATTATTATTCTTGTTCTATCATTTACTGTATAGAATTGTTTACCTCATTTCAAAATCAAAATTCTAAATTTTTAAAAAATATATGTCTTTATTGATTTCAGAGAGAGGAAGGGAGAGGGAGAGAGATGGAAACATCAATGATCGAGCCTGCAACCCGGGCATGTGCCTTGACTGGGAATCAAACTGCAATCTCCTGAATTACAGGTCAATGTTCAACTCAAGCTACACCAGCTGGGCAAAATCCTAAATTTTGATGTTAGCAAACATCACATTTATATGGCTTATTCTATTAAACTAATCAGATATTCAAAAAGTGTTGCTTCATGATAGACATGGTTTATGTTGTTTCACATAAACTTGAATTAATTTAATAAGGAGTTTAAAATTTGCAGATTTTTATTTTTACACATTTTTATTTTTATTTTTTCTCTTCTTTTTTCTTTTTATTTATTTATTACAGGTGTCCCTTTTTCTCCCCATTAACCCCTTCCACTCCCTACTCGCCCCCCTCTCTAGTCCCTCACCACACTATTGTCTGTGTCCTGGGGGTTAAGCACATATTGCATATAAATTCTTTGGTTAATCTCTCCCCACCCATCCACCCACCCCCACCTTCCCTCTCAGATTCGTCAGTCTGATCCCTGCTTCCATGTCACTGAACCTATTTTGTTCATCAGTTTATCATGTTCTTTAGATTCCACATATAAATGAGATGATGTGATGCTTGTCTTTCTCTGCCTGGCTTAGTTCACTTAGCATAATATTCTCCAGGTCCATCACACGATCTCATTTTTACACATTTTAAAATTCAGTTTTACAAAATGTAATAATACCTACCCAGTACTGAATGTCTAGTATGAACTAAGTGGGGTGGGGTTTTTTAGTATTTTTTTTTTTTACATAATTACTTGTAACCCTGAAATCAACTTCTCCCTTACAACCCTGCCAGTATTATTAGTCCTATTTTATAGATGGGGAAACTGAGATGCTGAGAAGTTAAGAGAGTTTCCCAGCACCACACAGCTAGTTAGTGTAAAGCCAGGAATGGACTGTCTAATCATCTGACTGGTTAATTTATTCTCTTAAGTACCCTAAATTGAGCATAGAGTTCTCACCCTCCTGGGCGACATGCAGTAGAATCACTCATTGTGCAACATCAGAACGCTGTTATAATAATGCAGTTAAAGCTTTCAAGCAACCAGAGTCCAATGAAACACCTAGGGTGCAATAAAACACCTGGTTAACTAGTGAAATGAAATGTGAAATAACTTCTCAGGTAAATGGCAAGGAAATGGAGGGTGTGTAACAAGAAGTCTGCTGAGATGAGTAAACCACAACAAGCATTGGTACCAGTAACCTCCAAGCCTGGCTTTGCGAAACTCTCCGAAAAAGAAAAATAAAGATCTCACACTGAGTGGGGTTGGCCTTGAAACTCATAAAGAAATGCTGGGTTGGGGAGAACTTATGTTTTTGTTTTGTTTTGTTCCATCCTCAGTGGAGCTGGTGCTGCAGCAGTCCCACCTGCTCACCGAGGGATGGTCCACATTTTGAGAGTAGAGTCTAGCACACACCACTGGATAAAGCCCCATCACTACCACCATCACTTTGCAAAAATCATCAGCTGGTCCCAATAACACATGAAGAGCTTTATCAGTGAATAGTAATGCAAACTTTCAAGTCTAAAATGAAATGCATATGGGTCAAATCGCTCTGCACTAACTTCCTAAAAGCTCTGCTCTGCTATTGGATATCCCAGTGAACAACCCCAGCTGGCAGCACCCAGAAAGCTTCCACAGGCAAATTACAGATTGTAAACGACGCTGAGATCCACCCCGAGGCTAAGTTTTCTAAGGTCTGTAGTGCACTCAGAGGATGTCTTTCCCCTTCTAGTACAGAGGCTCCACTACACAAAAAATGTGCTGAAACTGTTCCTGGGCCCTAGCTCGGCTGGGGGCAGCGTGCTCGCCGCGCAATGCCCTACTGGTTTCTTAAGGCGCATATGATTAATATTGGTACTCAGGAAAGAGAACTTCTTCTGACCTTGAGCGTGCGCGCTAAATAAATTACCTCGGAACGAAAGTGGTGAGATCTCATAACAGCATCTGGGGAGAAAAGAGAAAAAACGAGACTTCATTTAACTCCCTGTTCAGCACCTGCCTGCGGAGTGACTGATGCCTTACCTGGTTGGGGCGGGGGC